TCTCTTCCCGCTGTCCTACCTTTCGTGTCTCCCTCCTCTCAAGTTTGCTTTCCTAAGAATCTTTTTGAACATTTCGAGAGCATATGTTTGAACATTTAGAGTGCATATGAACATATATTTACGAAAGGTCGCCTCCGAGGGGATAAATCACCATGTCGAACATTGCATTTTTGTTCCTGCCTCTCGCGTTCTCTTCTCTTCCCGCTGTCCTACCTTTCGTGTCTCCCTCCTCTCAAGTGTGACAGCAAATGATTTCAACACATGTTTGAACTTGCTTGGATTTTAGCTAAAGTTGATATAGTTTAAGTATATGTAAGTCATCATATTTACAAATTAGTCATTAAGAAATTATTGGTTGTCTATTCTTTATGTTATTTACTTAAGAAACTATATGAAATTAGAAAATGTATACATACATAGAGATAGCTTGTTTTTGCCGTGCCATCAGTCGCCGGCTCCAACGCTTGTTTGTTTTGTACCACCAGCAAGCTGTTGGTAGCTTCGTGAACAAGTAAACACACATATATATATAGAGAGAGACAGAGAAACAGAGAGGAGCTTTAACAAATGTATGCAAAAAAATGAAAAATAGAAGAATGTACCATGTATAATACAACAGTATTCATGGATGATGCAGTGGAGGCTCGTGTTTTGAGATGGTTTGCTAAACTTGTGTGGAGGAGTGAGGCGGAGGAAGTCTAACTGACCTCCTCCTTTGGATCATGCGCCCATTGCCCTTGCAAGGCTTTATTGATCAACCAACACAAGGCAAGGCAAAGGCTATAAATTGTATATTATATAGATAAGGTTGTCGTCGAGAATCAAAAGATTGCGTTTCCATGTACAGGCTAGCTGCATAACATACGCTCTCAGGGCATTGAGTATTTAATTGTTGAATGTACAGCCAAGCAGGTAAAGATGTCTATAGCTATTCCCTAATATATGCATATGAACAACAAGTCGAACAGAGCACTTGATGTCCTACACCACACGGATGGTCTTGCAGAGTACTACTACTTCAAAGACACAAAGCCTCGTCTGAATTATATAGTCTGAACTGAATTGCTGCAATTTCATGCAGCCCATGCACCCCATCCATACTCTTGAATTTTTTGGAGTCACACAATGGGCCGCAGCATAGCTGTAATTTCTCAAGGTGTGCGATGCGATCGGTCTTGATGGCTTGGTGGTCATTGGAGGAGATGTCGCTTGACTGAGCAGCCATTTATCTTGAGTGCAATTAGGCAGCGAATAGGTAGGAAATAAGATGTGGCCACAGCTAGTAGTTTAAGATTTAGTAGACCTTGGAAGCTTGGGAGTTTCCTTGAAGAACCCTCGCATTATTTGATTTTGTTTCTAGACTGTTGGGGACCCAACAACTTCATGAATTCTCATCCTCTCATTCTTAAACTCTGATTGCCTGCAGCCTGAATCACAGGCCTTGGGGCTTGGATCCCTTAGAGCAGCGAAAACACAAAGCTCTGTTTGCCATTGCCGTGCTTTCATGTTCGATGTCGTTTTCACATTTTCCGACCACCCATTCTCATTTTCACTGAGGACTCCAACACCAATGGAGCAGTCTTGGCCGAGTACTTCAAGGCCAAAATGATGTTGATGTTGACCTTTCGTTGTTCTAAATTTGAACTGTTGATCAATTAGAATGGACTGATACACAATCAAAGAACATGCTTTTGCATGCTGGTGCTTGCTAATAGTTTCAGCTGGTTCAAAGCAATCACCTGAAGGCCAATGGCTGCAAGACCAAGGTGATTGGTGCCCCAAAGACTATTGACGGAGACTTGAAGTGGCCCTTGCATCCTTGAAAGCTGGTGTGATCGGTAATTACTTGTTTTGAGTCAAAGGTCCAGTCGAAGCACGCTAAACAACCTTGCCCTGGTTGCCAGGTGTCCACCCCACATCCCGGTGTCCTTCGGTTTTGATACGGCATGCAAGACCTATGCCACATTGGTAGGCAAGATATAATCAATGCCATGGATGCCAGTGTTCACATCAGTCGGATGAAGCTTGCAGGCAACGTGGCAGTCGATGCATTGAGTGCACAGAAGTGTCCCGATTGAAAGACGTAGTTGGGTCACACTGGCGCTGGAAAGACTTGAGCAGTAGGATGCTGTTGCGTGGATAAGAATGGGGAGAGTCAAACTCCATTGAAGATGTTGTATGGTTCTTGCCTTCACTCATTACATATACATATGTATCGAACACCTTCTTTATTAGTCAGTTCCTTACAGATGGGAACATAGTAGTTGCATGAAGTTACAACTGACAGTGAAATGCAATCGTCCTAGTCACTCGTTTTGTTTTGCTTTATATACTTATATATATATATATATACACATTTCCTTTGAGACATGCAGTCATTCTTTGCGGGGAGGGAGTAGACATGGATGAGGTACTACCACTTGGTCCGCTTGATGGGCCGGTCTGCTTCCAACATCGCTTTGGAAGTAGTAGCAGTCCTAACCAGTGACAGCGTTCGACAGTCAGATGTGTAAATGACATCTAGGTTAGGTATTATCCTTATTAGGAACAAGAAGCTACTAGTAACAAGTGCATCGCTACTAGTAACAAGTGCATTACTAGTAGTAGAAAGAAGCTACTAGTTACTTAGGGTTGCTTCATAACGCCACCTGTTCCAAGGCTCTGCTTACAAATCCAAATGCATGCTTGTTGGGTGAGGAGGCACCGCTCTCAAATATATGGGTATCCATTCGCACTTGGGCACTGCTTCCTTCGGAACCTTGGGCAAGGTGGCAGAAGGCAAGCAAAGCCTTAAAGACATCACCATGGAACTGGCTGCTGCTTGGCTTTGCGTCATGTCTGGGCTGTGGTTGGTTCAAGTTAGTTATAATACAAGCCCTTCATTGCTCAGGACATGATTGAAGCACGCAGCAAGGATGGCAAGGAGCTGCTTGTTGGATGCCTCCCACTGTCGGTGAAGAGAAAAGTTTGGTTTCATTTGTACCTTCAGGACTATGGAGTGATCCTGCTTCCAGAAGGCCTTATTGAGTAGAGGACTTGGCCTAGCAAGTCACTGCTACAGTCGCTGTTGCAATCCGGACAGATTGGAGGAATGATGCTCAGTGAGCCCAGGTTTATTCCTGAGTTTAACTCACTGATTTCAGAAATCAACGACAAGCTGGCACAGCCTGAGATTCAACCCACAGAGGAGGCACAAGTGGGTTTGTAGAAACAGCATTGTATGTTACGAAAGCGTCCTCGATGGGCAAAGGAAGTGAGTAATAGGGGGTGTGGATAGTGGGTAGAGTGAACCCAGAGCTTGGTGGGGGAGAAACGAAAAAAGAGGCGGTCCAATGTTTTTGAGAGTCTTGGTGATGCGAGTGATGCAAATGGCGCTGTGTAGTGCATCATTGCATCATAAAGTGCTCACGACACTATGAAAGTGGTTTACTGATGTGAGCTGACCAGGTGCGTGAGTCTAGGTAGAGGACAGAGGACTGTTAGATCTGAGATCGCTTGTTGGAGCCTTTGTCGCCAACAAGGAACACGCGTCCCTTCGCGGATGCCAAATCAAATTCACCCGCATGCCCCAACAAAAACAATCGAAAGAGGACTTGTCATTGGGGGCGCCATTTTTTTAATGTGACAAGCTTAGCCAGAAGCAAAAGGGCCCCCCCTAGAACTGTATATCAGTCGTCAGTGTGCCACAGTCCATTACTGTGCTTACTTTACTTCCCTACTCCGAAGCTATAGATTAGATGCCCACACGTTCAAAATCATGCTCATGCAAAGTGAGCAAAAACTCACAAGCGTTTATCGTTAAGGGCGCCCCTTTTTTACCTGAAAAGGGTCCTAAACCAAACGAAGAAGGGCACCACAGATCTGAACGTTTGTACAAGCACCTGGAATCCAAATCTATCCTAAGAACAGTAAACGAATGTTAGTAAAGGCGTTCAATTTTGTACAGCCCTTGTGTAGAATGGCTCTATCATGTCAAGCGTCAATGTGAAACTTTGCACATTTTTGCGCTTACATAACCTTAAAAATGTTTAATCTCTACAGGGGCTGGCTTTCGTCCCCTCCCTTCTCAAGTTGTGTTTCTCACGAATGTTCGCTACCTTAAATTTTGCATGCTTATCTCAAAGGTCTGAAGATGCTTGGCATCAAGACTGAACTAGGCCATGCGGTTATTCAAGACCTGTGGGCGAAAGATGCAGCCAGGGCGAGATGCACCGGGATAAAGTGTGGGGAGAAACCAAGACCAAGTCCAAGATTCAACGGGAATGCGGAGCAGGTAGTAGACGGATATCAGATATCACAGTTTCGTGAAGGCTGTTAACAGTCACACCGGGTCACAACTTGTCAACGGCAACCATTGCAATGCCTTGTTCAATTCACCAGGCCATTCTTAGTGTCCTATCCAAAGACAACGCAGAGTGCTTCAGGCCAGTAGCCGCCCACATTCTGAATTGGTTAGACGTCTAGAGTCAGCAGATCTCTGACACCCGGTGATTTGTTGGAGGTATTTGCCTGGCTTCATCCGCGCACAGCTTCTCCTTGACCGGGACCCTCATGGAAATGTGCAGGACTGGTTTGGGCAAAAAGAGATGAAATAAAGAAGGCAGGCGCCTCTTTAGTAAGGCCGTTTTAAAGGGGGCCTGATTGAAGAGGCCCTTACCTTCTTTTTCACTGTTTTTTCTATATATATATACCGTACCTTCCTGACTGGCAGGTAGCCAAGATTGAGACAGAGAAGCTACTGGCTGCCACAGTTCAGAATGAGCTGCAGAACCGCAGAGCAAATGGGTCTCTCAGCAGCCAGTTAACTTGCATTTGCGAGAAGTTTTATCGCCTTGACTTGGGAGTAACTTGGGAGTTGGTTTTCAAGGAGTCAGGGAATTTCTCGCAGCCTAGGTACAAGGGCAATTTCTCGCCTCAATTCCACGCCTTTGGCTATGAAGGTCGAGCGGGCCTGCAGGGAGCCCTTTATGGGCTTTCATCAGACTGAGCTGCACATGCAGGAAAAATCAAGAAAATGATGTGTAAGATGGGATGGTGGTTGAACTTTTGGGATGAGCTGATGAGTCTAAGGCCCACGGTCTTCGATTCAGCATATTGCTACGTGCACTCAGCGCAAGATTGTAATTGTATTAGTATTTGCAGAGCCAAGGGCCAAGGGCCTTAGTCACCGCCTTAGCGGAGTTGTTCGATTTGTGGCAGGCATTGGGATACACAGCATCCTCATTACTGGTGCTTGCCTTACCTGCCTGTGAACGATTTGCATGGGTGCTGCCTTCGTGGCATGTCTGATGCATTTGCACTTAAGGTCAATGGCTGTACTGGCCTGATTGCTAGCGTCAAGAACTTGCTGGCCCCTTGCAAGGACCATCGCAGTGCTGTGAAGGTAGCTGTCTTGTACCCACAAGTTGTAATAACGGCATGCTGGTGCCCAATTAACGTACTTGCTTTGTAGCGAAAAGGACATCAAGGGGGTCAGACTCCCGGTGTTTCCGACTTCGCTGCTAGTAAGGGCCTCAAACACACAATGATACAATAAAGCCGCCAAAAGCTCTGAACTTTGCCTTTTGTGTGGGGAATGCAGTCCAATGCATAGGCCAGGAACCATGAATGTGAGGTGCATCAAATAACTATAAATAACTGCCCATATCAAGATCCATATATAATATAAACCTGCTCGGAAGAGACGTGTTGATTGTTTTGGCCTAGCGGACATGTTCAAGTCCAGCCCGACAGGATTGGCAGTGTGGCGGCGTTCCAGTGACTTCCTTGTGTGTCATCGAACGGCGCAAGGGCAAGGCATCGGGACCGGTGGGAGCTGGGTTTGTTTGTCATGACAAGAAAGTGGTCGAATCGGTGAGGAAAGGAATTGGCTGCTTCGCAGGACAAACCAGTGATCCGAAAAGCCCTGGTGGAGCTCACTGGCAGCTTGCAATCTTCTCAATATGTTTGCAAGATCCAGTCCAGACATCACTGACGCAATACAGCAGAACCATGGCTGCCATGGCCTTTTCACAAAGGTCTCAGCCATTTGAGTTCTACAAGAAGATTCGGAGCAGTCTTCGAATCACCGACATGTGACCCTGTGTTTGAATTCCTCGGTTTGAGCATCGTTCAAGAGGAATTGATGTTGCAGCCATGAAATGCGCCAACTGGGAGAAAACCTCAGGTACCGCAACCCTGGACCAACCCAATTTGACATGGTCGACTGCGAGGCTTCCAAGGAGACGTTTTAACTGGGAGACAAGAGTGAGATTTCTTGTTGATGTTTCAGAGAATATGAGTGCTACAATCCCAGCAGTCTCTTGGATTTGATTTGTTTGGTGTCTCTCCCTAGCAACTCTTTAGCTTGCGTTCAAGAAATAACATTCAGCAGCAATAGAACCTCTGCGTTTGTTCAAGTTTGTTTGTTACTGTGACAGGACATCCCCATGACCCTGCAGCTGGAGCTAGGAAGGAGAATGCCAACGATTGATTGCAAATAGACTGGCGAGTTGGATCGAACTTGCTGTCCGGCTGTCCGCTTCGAAGTCCGCCATTCAAGTCTTCTTGGTCGAAAGTTCGCATCCAGCACAGCTGACAGGACTTGGCAACTGGAAATTCCGTCTGAAAAACCGAAGAGGTGCACCATTTGAGAAACTATACTTCTGGTCCTGTTGTTTCGAAAAATGTTTCTCATTTGACCTGTGAAACTTTTGGTCTCAGGATGGGAAACTTCCTCTTCCAGCCACAAGCGTTGCTTGCCTTGACTGAGATTCCGTCACCTTCCATACGGTCTGACTGAGCATTGCTGTACTTGTCCGCAAGGAAGAAGATGCGATCCGAGCTGCAGCAGTGGAGACTGGTGCGGTTCGCCATCGTTTAGACCTGATTGGTTGTCTAAGAATGGCATAGACAGCATATAACAGCATGATATGACAGCGTGGTAGCTTATTGTACCAACGAGTGAGAGAAACACGGCATTGCGGTTTTTCGTCAGGGCCGAAGGCATCGCCTGCCAGCTGCGATCAATGCCTTTAATGGCAACGCAGTAACTGCGGAAGACTGAGCAGCTCGAGGAAGTGAAAGAAGTATAAAGAAACTGCTGACTTTGTGCAATCATTGGACCAACTGAATGTATTCTTTTCAGAACGTGTCTGGATCAGATCACAAACCTTGAAGATCCTTGAAGCTCATTCCTTAGCCAAGATGATTCAGAGCGGGATCAACTTGAGGTGGTAAAGGGAGAGGAGACATGCGTCACTGATCATACAGAGGCCAGATCCTGACCGACTGTAGCACTCACTGAACAAGGGATGTTTGAGAAGCCGTCTCCAAGGTGGACATGTGACATGTTTGCTTCAAAGCAAATGGAAGAAAAAACGCTGCTTGCAGCCGACGGATCTTGAGTATCTCCGTAATGGAAACTCGTTGAAGCTAGGAATATACTCGACAGATTGAAGGAAAAGTCCCACGCGTGTACTTTCGTTGGGAACGATATTTCCTTTCACCGTTTGCGGGAACAATGCCAAGCAGACGCACCTCAACTCATCGGCTCCTGAGAGTGATTTAAACGATTGCACGGTACACGAGACATCCAAGTCATTCTTGTGGCCGAACACGTCAGTTTGTTGGAAAAAAGGAGAGGAAAAGAAAAGGAAGGTAACCCTTCAATCGGGTCGTGTTTTCGTTGGTTTTTCTTTAATTTGTTTGCCTCTCTTCTTTCAAAATTCTCATGGCCGGATGGAATGCTCCAGGTAGTTTCCAGGCACTTCTCAGAGGTGCATGCTCCTCTCTTGGACATCATGCCCACCGAGGAGACATGTTGACACGTTTGCATCTTTAGTTGACATGTTGCAGTTGCATGTTGTGTTGATAAATTGTCTTCAGGAACGCAATGAGCCAATTTGTGACAAGAAGATTGGTGTGGTTTTCTGTGGTCGCCAGGCCTCAGGGAAAACCTACCAGTATGCGTTTTTGTGTTGAGCTTGTGTCGGGATGTGTCAATGTGTGTGTGTGTGTGCGTTGCAATCTGACTGCCGGGATGAATCCGTAGGGTGGATCGTTTCTTTGAAACTGCATACGACTATCAATTGACATTGGACAAGATCAGCTGGATCAGCTGTGTTTGACAGCAAGTCTTGTGCAACGCGCCAACTTGGCAGGCTCCAGGCTGTCATGACTTCATTTGTGGATTGGTGGACATGATGCCTCTTGGCACTGAGAGATCGATTCACCGACTTGCGGAAAGCGATCCCAGACAGCCAACTTGCAAAGCTTGAGGCCTCCGAATTTCGGAAACAAGATCTTTGGCTTTGTTGGTGGCACCCATGGCTTTTACGACAAGCAGGACGGGTGCATCACATGTGCCAAACAGGGATCTGGCTTGTCCATTTCCAGACTAGCATGCAGTGGAATAAAAATCTAGGAACCAAGTCATTAGGGCTCAGGCTGCGTCCGAGAGCCCAATTAGTAGCACCTAGTCTGCTTACTTAGTAGCTTGCCTACTCTTAGGCCTACACCCCCGCGCATTGAAAAAAGGAACAGCACTTGTTACTAGTAGCTTCTTGTTACTAGTAGTAATGCACTTAGCTACTAGTAGCGTCCTTGCTACTAGTAGCGGCTTAGTAGTGATGCGCCTTGTTGCTAGTAGCTCAGGAAAGAAAGAAACGCCGCAACATAGCTGTTGCGTCGCCGAATGCCCACTCCCAGCCAAGTTGACAGCCATGCTGAGAGGCTGTTGAGCTTACTCCTGAGCTGTGCGAAGCGTTTCGTGGCACAGGCCAGGTGCAAGAAGTGCCAAGCCTTTCAGTTAGCAGAGACACAAGGGTATAATACAGAAAAAAAGCAGAAGGCATGCAAGAACTGAGTTAATGCTTTCAACTTTCAAGGGAATATCGTTATCATGCAGAGCCAGCGTGACTCGTATGACTGCTTCCAGCAAAGAATTGATGCTTGTCTTTCATCATGTCCATCATGTCCGGAGTCTTTGGTATGCTGAGCAGGTGGCTTGGACATGCAGAAATCTCAGTCTCCTTTCATTGAGATGTTAGCCGAGCCATAAAAGGAAAGACTTTGTACCAAGGCTGGGAAGAACTGTTGACAGAATCAACACCAAGGACTCCAAAGATTGACAAATCTTGTTGTGACTGGCATCCTTTCTACAAAATTTGCAATTCGTGCCTGGTTGTTTGCAGGAGGAGTCTGAAAAAGCAAAAATTACTTGCCAGGACCAATGTGACTTGTTGCTAGATTTGCTTTCACAGTGCTAGATTTGCTCAATTTTCCTCTAGCCGGACAAAGGATAGAGCGCGAAAACAATGACAAGCCAAGCAGCAGAAACACCAAATCAGGAGCTTGACTTAGATGGTTTGGTGCTTGTTGGTGGTGCCAGCACAGACCTGAGAGCATCTCTGGGCCTGTCAAGCAGACATCAGCCAAAACAAGAACACGTCTGACAGGATGCTTGACATGGTTTGTTCTTGTTTAAGGGACAAATACAGATGCAGCTTACTTGGCAGAACACTTCAAGCAAAGCAAGGCAAGTTCAGCGCTTTCAAACAATTGAAGCTGGGGTTAGAGTCTGGGAGGTGAAAAAGGTATGCTTCACAACAGGCATGTACTGCAGTGTTCAGCATTCTATTTCTCAAGTAAGCCTTGAATCTGATGTCAATGCCAATCTTTTCGCTGGAAGACCAAGCTCAGCAGGAACCACTGCTACTGTGTTCCAACTGCGCTAATCCTGTTGACTTACACCAGCAGGGATGTTCAATGTACTGTAGGAAAGATTGACAAGTTTCAATGAAGGTGGTAGAAGCATAATGATGTATCATGTATACCTTGCGCCGATTTACCCTCGTCGTCGCATGCCTGTTTTTGCACTGACAGCTACCAATTGTTATACTATTGCAGGTGAAGACAGCAGTTGTTGGCGTGCCGTGTGGAATTGAAGGGAGCATGATCAATGAGTTTGTTGAAGCGCCCAGCCCTCAATGCTTAGGGTTATAAAATTCATTCATGGAGAGAGCCTGTTTTCAAAAGTTAAAAAAAATAGCCCAGCTGGATACCCCAATAGCAAGATACAAACAGGGACAAAAAGCACAATCCGGAAACAGCTGCTGCTTTCAACACATCGACCATCTCTTCCTTGGACACCATCATCACATAACCGGGACACCATCACAACATGACCGGGGCACCATCAAAACATGACCCGGACACCATCACAACATGACCAGGACACCATCATGACATGACCGAGACACCAGCATCATATGACCGGGACACCATCATCCCGGCAAGAGACCCCAAACAGTGTGTGTGAGGTCTGTAAGCAGAAAGTCTAGAGATCTGAGATCTAGACACATTGGGGTCCAGAGAGGTGATGGTGGTGATGAAGTGAAGGTGGGTGTGAGTGAGTGTGGGTGAGAGGGAGTGTGAGTGTGAGTGAGTGTGGGAGAGTGAGTGCGAGTGTGAGTGAGAGTGAGGTGGGTGAGAGTGAGGGTGAGTGTGAGTGTGAGTGCAAGTGAGCGTGAGTGAGGGGCTGGATACTTATCCAACGCTCCAACATTTTTTTGTAAACCCCAACTCTTTTTCCACCCTCCAAGATGCTTTTACAACCCTGGGTTGGAAAAAATGTAACCCCTACTAAATCAACCCATGGTCCTTATATTCCAACCTTTTTTCACCCTGGAAACATTCTTTTTTCACCCTTGAACCTTTTTTTTCCAACCCACAAACATACTATTTCAACCCTTGGGGGGCTGCCCCCTCAGTATGTAGACGCCTTTGCTGGAACCTCGAATGATTCGGCCGCCCCATTCTGCTATTGCTGCTGGTGCTTCTCCACCGTCTTCCTTTTGCTTTGGCCTTGCTGGCTTGCTGCTTCCAACCTGCACCTGCAGCTTCCGCTGTTGCTGCTGCTTACTGCTTTGCTGTGCTGCAGCCGCTGCTGCTACCGCTGCTGCCGCCGCCGCTGTTGCTGCTGTCGGTGCCGGCGCTGCCTTTTTGCTTAGCTGCTGCTGCTCGTGCTCAGAAGCTTGAGAAGAAGAGTGGGCAGCGCACGCAACATCGCCGCTCCAGGCGACATGGTCCCAGAACAG